CGCCTGTTTTGCTTTCCTGAGTAAGCACGGAACCGTAATAATAGTCACAGTAATTTAAAAAAATAAAATAAAAATGTTATCCCCAACTTCCCACTCCATCTTCAGCCCCGCGCTCGGAGCCCGCCTGAGCAGTGAGAAACGATCCCGTGCGACAGCCCACAGGCGGCCGGGTGTTACCGGCAGAATGTGCTAACATCGGGTAAATTAGTGAAAGGGAGGAAGGGAGAAAAGGAGAAGAAAGGACTGAAAATCCGGGCTGGATTCCGCCCGCTCCCTGGGAAGTGGCATTTTTTTCGCCCGTCCTGACAGATCTGATTTCTTCGAGTAACTTCAGGGGGCGCGGGGGCGGGGCGGGGAGCGCCGCGCTGATACCGAGGGGGGGAGGGAGGAGGAATGGGGGGGGAGCAGCGCGGGCCGCGCGCCCCCGGCAGCGCCGTACCGACAGCGGCGCTCAGCAGCGCGCTGCGGTAATTGGAGCCCGGCGAGACGCAGCCGACGACCTTTTTTCAGGACAGGCCGCTCCCCCCTCGTTGTAGCCCGGCGCGCGGCCCCTCCCCCGCTTCGCCGGACGGCGCGGAGCGGAGCCACAGCGCGGCGTTGTTAATTAGCGGCGGGGGGAAGCCGAGCGCCTAATGAGCCGGCGGCGGCGGCGGCGGCGGCGGCGGCGGGGGGCGGGGCGGGCCGCGAGGCAGCGCCGCCAACCCCCGCGGCGCTGCGGTTCCGTTACCGCGCGCCGCACGTGACCCCGCCGGGCGCCATTGGCTGCGCCGCGGCAAAGATGGGTGGCGGGGGCCTGCGGGCCGCCCGTCCCGCGGAGCCGCGCAGGGTGACGGGCCGTGCGGCGGCTCCGCTCGCCCCCCCTCCCCGCCCGCCTCGCTCCCGCCCGGCCGCGTGTTGGCGAGGCACCTGGCACCGCCGTGCCGAGCTGTGGCGGGCCCTGCCCCGTTGCACCCCCGGGCAGCGCGCCGTCGGGGTACGCGCACGGCCGCACGGCTGCCCTCGTGCTCGCCGTGCCCGGGGCCGCTCGCTGCTCGCAGCGGCCGCCCTGCTCAGTGCGGCTCCCAACGCTACCCTTGGCAGAAAAATATAATAGTAATAAAAAAAAAAAAAAAATCACCCCCTTTTCGTGCTACAGACACACCACGCAACCGTACTTACGGTCTGTACTGGATGGAGGTGGCCTGTTCCTTCTAACTGCATTGGGTGTGTGTTTGTTGCAGCCGCTTTTTATTTTTGGAAAAAAAAAAAAAAAAAAAAAAAAAAAAACTAATGTCTTCAACAGATTTATTGTATTGGGAAGAAGAGAGCACCAGATACCATGAACCTTCCTTTCTTTCTAAAAAGGAAAATTAAAAACAAAAGCGCGGGGAGGCCCGGCCGCCCCCCGCACGCACGCGCGCACACACACGCACGGGCCCGGCGTGCCCCCGCGGCGGCCGCGGAGGGGGAGTGGGACCGGAGCGGTACCTGAAAGGGACTTTTCTTTGTTCAGAATGCCCCTTCCCTCCCGGCCAATGGGAACCCAGCTTTTATGAAATCGGGCCTTCCCATTGGCCGCCGTTCCTCCTGCCTGCCGGCGGGCTGTAAGGCAGCGAGGCGCACACACGCGGGACGCGCGGACACGCGGGGCACACGCGGGCTGTGCGCGCACCCCCGCAGCCCTCGGGCCGTGCCGTGCCGTGTGAGCGCCGGCTGCAGCCGGCCGGCTGCAAGTCTCGCTTCTCGTTTCAATTTGCCTCCTGTAACATTTAAGGCTTAAAAAAAGAAGAAGAAAAAAAAAAATAGGGGAGAGAGAGACGGGGGAAAAGGGGGCAAAACAGAAAACCAAGGTGGAGCGCCGCTGTGCCAGGATTCGTTCGCTGAGAGGAAAACTCTCATTTCGTTTTAATTTAATTCCAAGGCGGCTTTCGCGGCTGTGATGAATGCTGCTGTTCCCGTGCCGCTTTCGGAGGCGGTGCGGGCATCGCTCGGCGCCCAGCTGCCCCTCGCTCGGAGCCCGGTGGGCTGGGGCTGCTACACGTGTTGTATCGGGAGCCCGCACCCACGGCCATGCTCTATGCCTTAAGTTAGGCAGGTCGGCCTTTATTAGTGATGTGTTTGGGGGTTTGTGTTTTTTTGGTTTTTTTTTTTTTTTTTTTTTTTTTTTTTTCGGAAGGAGAGAGAGCAGAAAATAACCCTTTTGTTTCCAGGCCCCTGATTTACTGCCGCATGCACTGAACTGTGAACGCCGGCGACCATATAACTACCACGTGAACATCCTTTCACAGGAATTAGTAACACAAATCTTTCCAATCGGGCTTTGTGTCGCTCGAAAATATCCCCCTTAATCATCCTCTTTGTTTAGCTGGGGAGCCATTACGCCGCACCTCCGCCTCAAATTGCGCTTAACCCTTCGTTGCCCGACGGGCGGATAGTGGGGCCCGGCACGCCTCGCACCTCGGGGCCAGACTCGCTGCCCCTCGGCGTCTCCCGGTTATCTCCCCGGGAACACCCGCATGTCTCCGGGCCTGTCGCCGGTGCGGGACGCCGATTGTCACCCGGCAGCGGCTGCAGGACCTGCAGAGTCCGGCGGGGTGGCTGGGCTTCGTCAGCCCGCGGATCGCTGCTCCTGTTTCGTTATGATATGTATTTTTCAGATTTAGGTAATAGCCCTGATTTTTCAATATCGACCTCTGTTTAGACACGTTTCACTTTGGGCTGCTGCTCGTCTGCGAAATTACAGTCATTTTCACATTATTATCCAGCGAGTAGGAGACGATTTGCATTGAGCGCCGAGTGGGGGAAGGGACGTGATGGGAAGCGATCTGCCACGGTTAGAACATCATTCCAGACCGAGTAAAATCGCTGCCAACAGATGGTCTGAGAACGAGCCGAGGCGGAGCCGCTGGACGAGGGGGGCAGGGATGCCACTGCCCCACGGCATTACCGCCCCTCCGGAACTGATAGCGGGGCCAGCGGCGGGCACGGCCACTCGGCTCACGCACCCAACAGCCCCGCCGGGGGTCGGGCAGCTTCCGCACCTGGCTTCGGCCGGCCGGCCCGCCCGTGAACGCTCGGCAGAAGGGCGACGAATTAGTGACGTTTGTCTAAAATGGGAAATCCGGTTCTGATTAACGCGGCTGCAGACCGCTAACAATCCCAGCGAGAACCACCCCCCACATCTCGCCGGACACACGCATCGCGTAGGCTAGGAAAAACCATGGACAAACATCTATTTTCAGCGGAAGGCACGCGAGGCCCCAGCCGCGCCCCGGACAGCTGGCATCACCACCCGCGCCGAGCCCAGCATTCTGCTTCCGCAGCCGCGGCCCGGCTATCGCGGCCGGCACGGCCGGCACGGGGACGCGCTGCCCCCCGCCGCGGAGGCGCGCCTCTCTCCCTGCCGCCGCCGCCCGGGCCGCGGAGGCAGACAGCCAATCAGCGCCGCAGAAATCGCTTTCGCGGCCTCTGATTGGTTGAAGCTGAGAGCCGGCGTGCGGCCGGCCGCGAGGCGCGGGGAGCCCGGGTGCGGGCGGGAGCGGCTGGTCGGGCACGCGCTCCCGAGGCGCGCCTCCGGCTGCCGCCCTGCCCTGCCCTGCTCTGCTGCTGGGCGCGCGGCCGAGCCAGCCGCACCGGGTCTGCCCGCGGCTGGAAATGCCGTGTTGGCTCTAGCAGCGATTGCAATGCAGCCGTCATCTCCTTTATGCAGACAGTTTCCTCCAACGGCACCCTTTATGACTGAGTGTCGGGTGCGCGTTGGTGCCGGTCTCACCGCACGGCTGCGGTGGTCGAAACAGCGTTTCTCTTTCTCCTCCGTATTGAGGAAGAGGGCAAAGTCCTGTTTCTCTTGAGGATTTATTTACCAGGTTAATAGGGTGAATGTCATTGCCGCTGCACATAGCGTTTTGCAGACATGAGCATATTTAACAGCAGTGCGTTGGAAACGATCATATTGATCCGACCATTTTGGATTAGCAGACCCTTACAACCCCCGGAATTCATCACAGCCTGTCCCGCGGTCCTCTGGTCGCTATTTTAATTGGCGTGTGCGAACCACTGGTGCTGCAGATTCGTTGTGGATAATTTATTACAGCCTCGCAGCCTGCCAGTGATCCATAAACTGGAGTGTGGGAACTGGTGATACAGACATTCATGCACTTGGCAGATACTTATGTTAGATACTATTTTTTTTATTATTATTATTTTATTTTTTGAAGGAGGCATTGCTAACAATGTTTTCTTCCTTAGAACAGTCTGTAGACTCTCTTACATTTATCTGCATATTCACAAGGTCTCTCAGTTTGATCTAAAGGTCAGTTCCTCTGATGCTTCAGCAGAGAAATATAGTTATGTCTGGAAACAAAGTACCTGTGTAGTGTTTATAGACAGCAACAAAATATCACCTGAGAACTAGCAACTGGAAGAAGCAGTTTAGGAAAACCCTGTGTGTTTGTGTGGGGATGGGGACAGTCCAGAGGTACGCCTGATAGAAGCTACTTAAATGCAAGAAGGATAAAAAGAAAAGAAAATAACCAATTGAAGATAAATAATAACAATAATAAAAATGCTAACAAAGAGATCTTCTAATAAATGGAGCCTCAAAACAGGTTCCTCCTTCCCATCATGTGGGAAGCAATAGAAAATGAATACTAGAGGGAATAATTCCATCCTGGTGTCAGAATGGACTGACATAGCGACTCTTTCCCATTTCCTTACTGTCAGTTCTGTGAAATTCTGCTGTAGAATTTGTACTACAAACCTTTGACCCAGACATTAATGTAGCATTCAGCGCTCTATATACTCAATTTCTCCTCAAGTAATTCAAACAAGAGGTTATTTATTTATGTAGTGCAATGCAAACATTCAGATAATATTTAAAAACATGTATTTCTCATTAAATCGTGTGTGATAAGAAGCCAGCAGTGCGTGTTAAAATGTGTGTT